GTCATCCCCATTTTAATCATTTGTAGATTTTTATTCTAAAAGTGCTGCAAGATCACAGTGACAAACCGTATACAGCTATTTCGAGAAAGGTTGTGTGCTGCAAAAAAAGGTGTGCAACACGTGCAATTTGGTTTTTTGCTAATTAGATTTTTATTGCCGTCCCCGTTTAGCATTACACGATTTGATTTTTTTTTTGTTTATAAGTATTATTAACCAGAGCTTCGCTTTTAGCCCTGGCTAAATCTATATATTAGGTTTCTTCATTATTTTGCTGTAGGTATCAATTGGCAGTGTACGTCTTGAATCCACCACACATTAGTTAAAATTGGTTGAAAATCAGTTTATCACAAGAGGTGGTCTCACAATATTAATATTATTATATGTGAAATATAGCTAGACCCCGACTCGTTTAGTACTCAGTGTATGTTGTGCCTATATTGTCTGTTTCTTCAGTCATTATGCATGCACTCAGTCGGTGGGAACTAACTTAAATAAAGAGAAACGCTTCAGGCTTTTCATAGTATATTTTTAACCATTAGGTAGTGAGATTTGAGACAATACACGACGTTCATTGTGCATATGAATATTATCACCCTTCACAGTGTTACGATCAATTTGATTCTGTTTTTAGATGTATTAACGTTGCCTCCTCGTGCGGTAGAATACACCCGGGATTTCTCTAAGGTAAGGAAAAGCAATGTTCTTATTCTTCCGAAGACGATTTCTTCGTGCTTTGACGTTGTATTTCAGGAAACGCGAATTTCAACGCTTTCACTTTCACGCTTGCTTCTGAGGAAATTGTTTAAGCTTTTGCTTTGCTAAGCAAAACCTTGTCAATAAAAGTATGAAGCATGTTATACAATAACATGTCATACAATATACCGAATACTACATCTAGCTAAGATCTAAAATATATGTATTGAATTTAACTTGAGTCGAATCAAGTTCGTCAAGTTCTTTACAGGACAAAAAATATAACGGGGGTTAAAATTTCTTATAATAGTGTTCCAGTAAAGAATATAGAAAGAGGGGTAGGTAGATAATCAGTTAATTAAAGGCACAAAATAAGCGACAAAACTCGATCTCTGAAGTGAAAACATTTGGGTAGCCAAAAGAATATTAGCATAAGTAACATGAACACGCCATTCTAAAATCAGAGTGCTTATACTTCATACAATATAACGTATAATGCCTTAAAGCACATTTTGTACTCAAAAACTCTCACAAAAGAATATCGTTTCAGCTCGTCCAGTCGTTTGCAGTTTAAACGTTCCAATTTTTTTTCTTGCAAAGTGATTAATTTTGCACCGGCCGACAAAGGCTAAGACAGCAAAGCAGAAAGATGCTATCTCAGCATTAAAAATAGCATTCATCACCTCTTTTTCGCGGTCTGGACAGGACTAGTCTGGACTGAAAACTGGATTAGACTTTATAAATCATGGATTAAAATAAAAATATGAAATAAAGAAAATAACAAATATTACAAAATACATTTTTAACCATTGACGTGATCACATCTCTCTTTTCAAGCCTCCTGACAGCATGTAAAATGTATCAGAAACTGCTAACAGAAAAATATAAAACCACAGCAACAACCCTGTGACGAATGTCGGATCTTGTGCAGATCTTAATACCTTTTAGAAAGCAAAAACTGATCTAACAGCAGACGACTGCGTGAACAAATTAAAAAAAAGCTTTAACTTAAAAGAAAGTGTGTTGCTACCGGATGCGTACTACATGTATTGCGGATCTATGCTATGTGCTTTGTCACGTGATATAAGTTTTGTCAGTCTTAAGTTTGAGTCACCAAGGCAGTTTTTCTGAGAATAACTCGTTGGATCCTGTTGGATCCTTCCTTCTAAAATCTAACCCCAATTTCTGAGATCAAGCAAAATCAAGCAGTCAAAACAACCCAACATATTGCATTAAAGACGTATTTTTACGCTGCACCGGAGCAACCTCTTGGATTGCAATACTTTGAGATTGAACTGAATAGCTGCTGAGAGAGTTACCCTGCTGGAGAATGCAAGAGACCAGAGCTAATTACCAAATGACGGCACTAGTATCTAATCATCCTATTTAAATTTTATCTCTATAATATTTAACGATACATCCTTAAATTATCGCTTAGAGCATGAAACTTGAGTAGGTGACTCTTATGTTTCTATTTTCTATCTCAAGATAAATTTTCAGGTAGAACCAGTGCCAAGCAGTGAAAATACGAGATATGTCTGACAAGGTGAAACACGTTGAAGGTAGGCCGGACAAATGTGATCTTGAATGCTCAAAGTAGTAACCAAAGTAAAAGCTAGAATAGCAAATAAAGGCACTTGCCAAATGTTGAGCTAGGAAGGAAGTTGACCTCAAAAATGATAGTTTATTCACCTTAAAAACTTGCAGCCAAAGGGCTGAATTGCGATAAGGTTTACAAATGCAATAATTACCAACTGAAATAATTTACAACTAATAAAAGAAAGATGATCCGGCATAATTTACAATTTTAAAACTGTTACAAAATGAGAAATTCATAAGCATGCGTCAAGTTCCTATATACAAGGAACAAAATTGCATCTTACTAGTTCTCAACTACTGTAAACATAACTTAAAAGAAAACTATTCTTGCACCTTTCAGTTTTACACTTTGGACCAATAAATGTTCTGTGTTCTCGAGCTCTCAGAGAGAAGTTTGGCTGATATTTACTTGGAAGTACTTTGTGGAGACTGAGTGTGAGACTGATTAGAGCATATTTCATCGAACAACAATTGCGTCTAGAGCCTACGCATATCATAGCTCAGGGTGAATAATCTTCATAGCGCGTTTTTGAGTCCTTCTAGGTCTTCGCTTAGATAACTTGGTAGAGCGCGATGAAAAAATGGGCTGAAATACTCTAGAATAAAGCGAATGCATGTGATGTAAAATAGATCTAGAATTAACTCTCTTGTAGCAACATGCGATTTCTTAAGCTGTCTTAGAAAATATAATCTTGTTGAGACCTTTCTAACTAGTTCTGACACATGGACATTCCACTTTAAATCACTGCTAACAATTTCACACTGTTCAAAGTCTCTAGGGACTGAAGGTTAACGCAGACAGGGTCAAACACCTGCTCGTTCCTTGCCAAGCTAATCCTGAGCTCTTTGCATTTCCCTTTGTTTAACTGAAATCCGTCATCCCTTTCTTGCCTTGCGAGATCGTCTACCACTTGCTGAATACAACTCTCTTGGCCTTTATCTACCGCCTCAGAGATTGTGGTATCATCCATATATTTCCACATATCTGCCTCTCTTGCATTCAAATCATTCAGTCATTGTTAAGAAGAGCCACGGCAAAAACTTTGTCCCCTGAGGAACACCGGCTGGGATGAAACCCACTGGGAGAAACAATCCTGGACCAGTTCAACCCTCTGTCTCCTATCCAACAGAACGTCAGCAATCCATCATAAGATGTGGCTCGGAATATCATAATCTGAGAGTTTACGCACAAAGATATTGAAAAGCCTCACGGAAATCAAGTAAAACGACTCTTATCGTGGCCGCGTTCCCATCAGAGCTGATCCCATCTTGCTTTCTTGTCGATTTTCTTTAGCACGGCCAGCATCACAAAGTCATGAACAACATAGTCCTTGGCAATCTTGGACAGGATAGGCGTAAGGGAAATGGGCGAAGGTGCTAGTTAACGTCTTATGATAGGTCTTGGTTTGGACGACATTTAAAGGTAGTGATAAATCAGTTTCTAGATAAGTTAAGGAAAAGTGGATCCGTTTTTTGCAAGAAAATGGCCTCCCGTGAAAAATTTGCTGTTACATTTGGCCGACATTTCAGGTTTTATTGATATAATAAGTATGCTAATTTTAAAAAAATTTCAAAGAAGAGTAGAAGCGAAAATCAACTGGTAAGGAATCAATTGAAATGAAATTGTTTTGGAATTTTCAAAACGCTTTCCTGTTAGTATGACGCGAAAGAAGCCTTCCAATGCCCGCAAAATTCGTCATCCCCGCGCCTGTAATCTGACAACGGAGTCACGAAAAACTCTGGAACTTTAAGAAACGTCCAAACAACGAAATAGTTTTATTGAAGCAAAACTGCATTTTAAGTTTTAAAAGTATTTTGTTTTCCTAGCAACGCAACCAGTCATGCCTAGTTGTAGGCTTAATTTTAAAAAAATTAAATTTATCGTTATTTTTTGAAATAAAGGCTGTTTTGAAACAACACGTAACATTTACTTGACAATCCAAGTAACTGTTGAGTGGAGGACCCTAGAGAGAATAATAGCCCTCGAAAATCGATTGGCCTTTAAAATGAAAGGTTAAGAGAGAGAACAGACCCAACACTACCAACCTCGCCATTTTGAAACCTTGGCTACATTGATTACTTTGCCTTAAGTAGCAGTGGAACTCTGGTTAGAAGACCAGAGCGATAAAAACTTGGTCGTTTTAGTTATTAAGAAGCGTCAATTCAGTTTGTAACGGCAAGCATGAATTTATCACATTCAAAGTAATACTTATTCTAAGACAAGGACTGTTCAGATGGAATGTGGCAAAATCGATGTAATTTTTTAAAAAAAAAAACTACATGACAGCTTTTTTGGTCTCAATTTAAATAGCCGTCACACAAAAGCTTCGAGATTCAAGGCCCTTCTGCCATCACAAAGTAAAGACTGACCCAACTCATCATTTTTGATTGAATTAATAGTTGTCAGTTTTTCCCGGCCCAATTAAGAAAGTTTGCTTAACCAGAGGGAAAAGTCTTGCCTCCACTTTGTTAAGTTCAGTTGTATATCTTCAACATTATTACTGAAAGCAACTTGGGATCGAGTATAGTACCTTGAGGCACACGCCCGGTTTATTTATAGACAGAAAGTACTCTTCGCTGCCCATTAAATAGAAAGTTAATCGTCTAAAAGACTGTCTTTAATTGGATCCAGTGATTTCCTACAAAGATCATGTAGTTTTATTTGTTTTCGACAAAGTTCACGAAACACTTTATTTTTTAAAGGGAAAATGGTGCCCCCACAGCCTTACCCAGGAGAGCAAGGTAATTTTCCAGCTCCGCCTGGTTACCCAGCGCAGCCTGGCCACCCACAGCAGCCGTACCCGGCACTGTCTGGGCACCCAGTCCCCCAAATACAGCTGTACCAAGAAATGCGAGGACAATGTAACACAACAGCAGTTGTAATGCCGGTAAGAGTCTTACAAACCATCAAAACAGCCGATGTTTTCTTTCAAAGACCAACAGATAGAGGTACCAGGCCATGTATTATGGAACAAACACTGTGTCGAGTGCTGGTTTGATACAACTTCGAAACTATGAATAAATTCCTGAGGAATTTTCAAAGCTAAACGTCGCCAAACTTTGTGGCACAATCGAGGTTCGGTTCCATACCTCCTTCGCAAGTGCTTTCCAAACACAAAAATTCTGATAAGTTTGTTTGAAGTTTTGGTGGTTTGTTTGGAAAAACCCGTTGTGATGTACATGTACGTAGAATCCAATATAGATACAAGTAGAATGAGACATAGAAGATCAGCTTCAGCTATTTTTTAATATAGATATAGGAAGACATAACAAAATTTAATATTTCACCTTTCTTCACTAGAAAGAGTAACTGTAACAGTTTGGTACTTTTTATATAGTAAGGAACTTATTTCATTTTTTTGTATCATTGTATAGTCTAGTCATGAAACCTTCATCTTACGACCTGAGGCTCCTCGTCCACAGAATTGGCGAACCTTGTCCATTTTTAACCTTGTGTTCTGTCTTTCGCCAATTAGTGTAGCTGCCTTTGTCTTCAGTAGCAAGGTAAGTATGCCGTTTTTGATCATTTGCTGAATCAAACCCATGGATATACGACTTCTTTTTACGAAGTCATTTAGAGGCAGAACCTTTTCTTTTTCAGTAGTTGCTTGTTTATTTCTTAGACACGTTTACCCAAAATTTGTCGAGATTTGGTTGCAAAATCTCATAGATATAATATGGAACCATTCCTTTAAGAGCCCAGCTATTGTTTGGAGGGAAGCTATTTTTTGGGGGAAAAGCAAGTTATCCGCGCTTGATTTCACCTCGAATCCTTACTAATCATACATGTATGTTTTTTCCAGGTGGATACCTCTTATATTGCCGGAGATTACGAAGGAGCAAGACGAAACTCAAAAATTTCTCTGTGTTTGAATTTACTTTCAATCCTCTGCTTAGTAAGCTTGGCAGCGTATGTATTCAGTTAAAAATGAGATGTTTTTACTGACTAAAAACAAAATTTTCGCGACATTTTTTGACTGTGGAAAGTAGATGAAGAATATTCCATTGCAACTGTTTATTTTCAACAATCTAAGGCCACCTTTGCCTGTTTTCAGTTTGTTAGTTTCTTGTTTTTGTTTGTTTATTTGCCTTTTTTCAATTGTTTTTGTTTTGCGTGTTTGTGTCTCTATAACCGGATGGTGTTTTCGACTGATCGTTTCTGCGTATCCGTTTCTGTTTGATTTTCAACATTTGTAGAGGGAGTGGCCCTAGATCATTCAACAATTGTTCTCCTCTTCCTAGAATCAGTGTTAAGTCACGTGGAGCCCAAATGCTTTATAGGTATATCTGTGGTTTACACGAAACCATTTACCTGTGTGTCTTTTCCTATACCTGGTCGTTTTGGAAGGGATTTGCATTAGCGCAAAGACTGTTTCGTAGTTCGATTTTAAACCACACTGATTGCCATAGACGCGTCAGAACCCGGGGACAACATTTCTCGATCACTGGGGGCATGGTTACTTGAAAATCGAGACGTTCATATGTCTTCTTCAGGTTCTACGGGCCTTAAGCGATTACAGTCAAACCTGTATATAACGGCCCTGTATAAAGAAGTCACCTGACAACTTCCCAAGATTTTCAGTTGTCTTATGTTTTCTGCAAAGTTGACCTGTATATAGCGGTCACCCTGTTTATAACGGTCGCCGTGCTTGTAATTGTGTTTTGAAATCAAACGGAGAAAGAATCTTCCCGCTAATATAAATCCCTTTAACACGAATGAAGACAGATAAAGATACGCAAGTGAACTGTTTGTTTAATTTCTTATTGTAGTAGCATTAGAAATCTTTAACTGATACCTGTAAAGCGTTAGGGCTACCTGTAGCTTGGTGAAAAAACTTCGGTGTTTGCCCAAAAGCGTTTACGTTCTTATTCGACTCACAGCCTTCCAGATATCGCTTGTGGACTTCTTTTAAGTCATCTAACGCTCTTCGCTTTTAGTGAACGGCGGTATAAGAAGCCTTTGTCACTGATCCTTTTAACCCCGGCGTAGTCATTCGATAATATCGATAATCGATAACATTCGATAAGTAATATATCAAACATGAGATGCAGTGTTTCATCACCAGATGAAACACCGAGAAGAGAGTTGAAAATACGACGCGCAGCGGAGTATTTTTGACGAACTTCGAGGTGTTTCATCTGGTGATGAAACACTGTGTCTAATGTTTGATATTTCTTCTCAAACAAAATCATTTTTGAAGGAGAAATTAAGGATGCAAATACTAAGCAGTGTTTCATCCGATTTCCAAACACTCATTAAACATTAATTTCCTTTGTATTTTCTTAATGAATTATTAATGAGTTTGAGAACAATCAATAAAAATCGATTAATTTTTTCGAAATTCGATAAAATTCGATAAAAGAGTTCGGTGTGAGTAATCGATAATTAACGATGTTTGAATTAGGGTTATCGATTTTATCGATAAATATCGAATTTATCGTACCAATTTTCGACACGGAAACACCATAAGATATTAAAGAGCTCGCAGAGACACTTATAACAACTTCCCTGTTCGTTCATCTTTTCAACAAACTTTAAGTAGTACTCAGCGTTTGTTCTATTTGAAATCCGCTATAGATCCCTGGTTGATTATTCCACTGTTTATTTATTTGCTGATGTAACACAATCGCACGCTCGTTGCTCTTTCACCCAGTCTTGAAAGGGAAAGATGAATCCGATAATATCGATAAAATTAACACTTTGTCGGCGTGTGAGTATCGATTTTTATCGATTGACCGATAAAGTCGATATCGTTTAAAATCAATTAATCTATTTTTATCGATTTATCGAATGATTTTCCGATATCAATTTTTATCGAATGACTACGCCGGGTTTTAACATGCTTAATTTTTTGTTCAAAGAAAGTAAAACAATACGCTTTAAAGAAAAAAATAAATAAATATACACAGATTCATGTGGACGAGCCTAACTATTGCTCCCATTCTGGTGAATCAGTTAACAATGAGAGGAAAATTGTGTGTCTTAATCGTGGAAAATTGAATAAAGAAACGTTAAGCATGCTGTAGGTGGTAGAGAAACGCTAAAACACTTGCATCAATTCTTGGTTTGCAACCACGTGACGAGTCTGCCATGTTGGGGGTCAATAAAATGGAATTTTTCCTCGAGGAATTTACATGAAAATAGAGTACAAACATAAACCACAAAGGACTGCAAAGGACCGCAAAGGAATATGCCGAAGAACGGAGGATCTATAAAAACCTGATCAGCAAAAATGAAAAGTAGACATATTAAATTCTGCAAGAAGAATACTGCAATGCTGATCGTACTACGTGAAAATTAACTCTGCCAGACATCAACACGACACCGAAAGAACTCAAAACAGAGCAGAATTGTAGCCATAAACAGCTGTTAGCCCTCTTTGGAGCTAGTGAAAATAGAAAATAGAGAAAATGAAAATAGAGTTTAGTTCCCACTAGAGAGGAATGCTTTTGTTCTTGACCACCAACATGGCCTGACAAATCAGGCGCTATCATAAGTTTAAATGAACACAATAGAACAACAACGAAGGGTTCAGTTTTTCGCCTTTAATGAAGCCACGAGCTGTTTGACAGTCTTTGTATTTCCATCAGCAGTTTGTTTTATCGGCAATCAGAAGCTTCTGGATGATTTAGTTGTTTGTGTTGAATAGCTAATAAAAATAAATAAATATACAAGCGGAATAAAAACGCTTAATGTATCCTAGAGTAATAGGAAATCTACTTTAAAATAATTTTTTTCGATATTTCAGTATCTGTCTAAATTCTACATCACCTTTTAAATGCTCCAGCCTTTTGAAATATTCTTTACGCCTTACATGTAAATCGTACGTGACTTCTTCAAGAATAATACTACTAAAACACGAAAGAACGTCAAAGCTGTACTGCTAACTGCGAGTCGCCAAGGTTTCAAATACTGCACATGGTTGATTTCGTCCAAAATGTACAGAAATACAGAAGATATAAAGAATTCGAAATCTACGTAAAGATATCAACAGGAGCTACAATCAGTCAAGAAATGTTACAGCAAACCGTAAATAAGAATAATATTCACGTACCCGTTGGTGTCTCTCAAGTTTCGCAACTAGTAGTAATGATCTTACTAATCAACGATAGTTACGTCATGTCATTAGTCGTGATTATATCACGCATGAATTTCGTGTTATACCGAAACAAAAGCTGCTTTCAGAATCTTAATAAATTTCAATAATAATAATATCAATGATAAAATATTTATTTACTTTTCTCACAGAAACTTTCCCTTGACAAATTTTAATTAAATGATATTAAAGAATTAGAATTATATTATACTAATTATGAAAATCATTACAATTAGTAAATCAAAAATAAGTTAGATTACAATTCAAAATCGGTGGTTTCTTGGTGTTGCGGACACCAATGACGTAATACAAAAGATTGAAAAGACACTGAACAAGACCCACACCACAACACAAAAGCTAACAAACAATAGTTTCCGCAACACCAAGAAACACCCTCAAAATCTCACGATCAGTTTCAGACTTCTTAATTTTAAGATTATTTATGTTATTTTTATTCTTCTTTTGGACCTTTAAAGTAAGGAGATCAGACACCAATCGATCTTTTTTTGTTTGACGATTGTATGAAAACGATGGCACCGGTGTAAGTAGTTTCACAAAGGGGAACAGGTTCATTGTACTAACAGGAAGCTGGAGCTGGGATTTTACTTTAC